CATTCATTCTTCTTTACATTGAAAAGTCAAAGCAAATGTACACACTGTGATTGTTCTCATTGCAGCCATGGAGACCAATCAATGTTTACTTTTAAAATCATCACCTCAGAATTTTTTAAGCCAAAGGAGCAAAGCCCATGTTCAGTATCTTAGCATGAATAGTCCAGTCCTATTACCATCCTTGGAATGGTAGCTATATTTATGTAAAATTTAAGCTCAGTCGGTTCTGTAGATTTTGCGCCTATTAGTAATACACGTACAGACAGACACCATTAGATTTTTATAATTGAATAGATTTGGATCAAACTTGGCAAATTTATTTATTTTATACTAAGCTATTGATATTTTACTACAAAAAACACGTTATTAGTTTTCTTGTAGCAGCAAACCTAGGTACTCGTTAAACCTAATGTTATTTAAATAGATTTGATTGAAAATCAATTTAGACAAATGAAAATTGGGAGGTTTGCTGCGGCGGGGGTATTTTATAAACAAATTCTTTGCAAAAAATAAACTGGAAAATCACAATTCAAAGTGTACAAATCTATAGACCAAATCTTAGTAAAAAAATACATTGCAACAAAAAGTTGTCAACAAGTCGTAAAGCTTGCATTTTGGGTTTGATGTAAGAATGTTTAGTCATTTATAAGGCTTTAGTTGTAACTGTTTTTTATAATTTTTTAAAATAACTTTTAAATAAATGCCATGATGAAATAAAATTCAGAACTAATTACCAATAAAAGGTTGTCTGGCGCTTCAGCCTCCATTTAAATGCATGTGTGTGTCTGTGGACCACCTCACATCTAATCAATACCTCCCCCTCCCCACCCTCACACTCAAACATTTGTTTCCGACTGGTAATAAAACAAATCCCACTCTCTGCACTTGCCTTTTTTTGGCTTAGGTAAAATTTAAGTAACTACAAACAAATGCATAAGCTCAAAATGTCCAGGTAAAACAATGAACATTAGTCGATTCTTAAATCAACATTTTTGGGTGGTTTGCTCCACTAAAAGCAAAGAAGTATTCAGCCTGGTTTTTGTATTAAAAATAAGTAGTTAACTTATCTTATTCAAAATATTTATTGGCCATTACTACAGATGACTTTTTTGTAATTTCTTACAGACAGGAGGGTTGTCAAAGCTGAGTTGTTAAATGATTAAGCGTCCAAAACTAATTTGGTATTGTATCCAAAATATTGATTCACAGCAATATCGACTAATGAAGAAGTGGATTTACCATGAAAATAAACCTTGCAAATAAGATCAGTTAACACAACATTAATAGCCTATTAAGATGTACAAAATCAAAGTGCTAACAGGGTACCCAGTATAAAACCATAACTGATGGATGAGAGGTGGAAAAAGTGTATTACTTAGGAAGGTGCCTACTGTCAGGCGAAAAAGTCCATAAATCTGCGTGGTCATCTTTTGACTCATGAACTATATACTTTAAATTGGAGAACTGTCTTGCCCAATATGTAATCAATTTAAGCCTATATATCTATCTAGATCTATCTATACTAATATATAAAAATGAGATGGTGTGTGTTTGTGTGTCTGTCTGTTACTTTATAAAGCAAGAACCACTGAACCGATTGAAATAAAGTTTTATATGAAGGTAACTTATATACCTGGTTAACATATACAGTATGCCTATTCCTGTTACCCATATTTCTCTTGGGCTACGCCCCATGGGCTTCCAAAGTTTCAATGTTTACATTTTGGAAGAACGTAAATAGTTTTTAAAGTACAGAAAAAGTTTTTAAGAATAATGACATTCTCATATTTTAGGATATCTTGTAATTCGCTGTTCAGGGAATTAAACATCTTAACTGTTCCAAATTTATACATATTCAAAACCTTAGTAATGGTACAAACAAACTATGAAAATTTATTAAATGATAATTTTGACCACAGATACAACACAAGGTTTAAAAATAATTTTCAATTACCAATCCATCGTCTGCGTCTCATTGAAAAGACACCAACATACATGGGGGAAAAACTGTACAATAAGTTACCACAAGGTTTAAAAAATATAGCCAATACAATGTCATTTAAAAAGAATCTATCAAAATTTTTAATAGAAAAAAACTACTACCATATTAATGAGTATTTGTTGTAAACTATTTTTAAATCAAAGTCAGTATTTTTATTTTTTATTTTTATTTAATTTTTTAACTATAGAATGTAAGATGATCAACAATGTTTTTAGGTATTATAATTTTGACAATGTCACCTGTTTTGTAGCTAAGCTATGTATAAACGTTTTGTGACAATAAAGTTTGATTTGACTTCACATTCACTTTTTTACATTTACAGAAACCTCCTTAGTAGTTATGTTTTTACAACACTGCTTTAATTCAATATCTTTAACGTAACTATGTTTCTTTACTCAATGTTTTAAATGATGATGTAAATTAATGCAAATACATACACGTTTTGAGCTATGGAACGAGTTAAAATAATAACTGTTATGTATTATGTCGTTGATTTCTATTTAAATTGATGAAATTTGTGCCCTGATTAACATAAATAGTGGTTGGCGTTCTAACAAAAGGTAATACAAGTTTTCCATTAGTTTATATTTGCCTATTATTGTGATGTATACACAATGATCTGCAGGTAAAGACTGAACTTTGAAAAAAGCTCAGTAGATACGGTCAAACATATCAATGTGAAATTAATATAAACTCATTTTTTTCCACAGTGCTTTATGTTGTGCGATTACTTTTCCTTATTTACTTTATATGTACGTTTTTCAACGAAATAAATGATAAATCCTAAGTAAGTTTATCATTTGAAAATTGAATTGTATTTCCATAAAAGCATCAGCGCCTCATATCATTCGTACTATGTAGCCTTATAAGTTAGAAGAAAGCCTTAAAAGAAAGATATTTTTTCAAACTAAGAGTTTCAAATGAGTTATGTTTCTGAAACCAAAGGGGAATGTGTAAAAATTGTATACAACAGAATTCAAAATCAAATTTTTTGCTTCAGTGTCTTCTCCGTTGCGAAGCACGGGTACAACAGCTAGTTCTATATAAATATGGAAAAGATATGTGTCATTAAAAATGTCTAACTAATGTTCCTCCGTTAATCAAATAAATATATATATATATATATATATATATATCACCATTAGCGCGATAACTCGAGCAAAAATGATCCGATTTTGATTAAATTCGGTACAAACGTATAAACCTTCGTTTATTCAAACAAATTCGTGAACCAGCATATTCGGACTATGGGAACAAGGGTTTATGGGGGATCTATGGGGTTTTCCCATTTTTATCTCTCAAAACACAAAATTTCTCAATTTCTTTCCAAACCATTTTGTAGATCTAAAAAAAAGGAATAATTATGTATATTAAAGTGTTATTGTATGCTTAAAAGATACAAAAATAATTAATAAAATAGTAAATGTAAAATTCCCATGTTATTCTTAAGGAGAAAAATGGATATATTTTGGCAATTTTGTTAATTTCATACTTAGCCATCAACATTTCAATAAAATACCCCCGCCGCAGCAAACCTGCCGACTAAGCAAATTTCCATTTGTCTGAATTAATTTTTTATTAGGCCTAAATCTATTTAAAAAACATTAGGTTAAATGAGAACCTAGGTTTGCTGCTACAAAGGAACTAATAAAGTGTATTTTTTGTGCAAATATTAATAGCTTAGTATAAAATAAAACAAATTTGCAAAGTTTGATCGAAATATATCCATAAACAAGCAAACTACAACATTTTACAATATTCTCCATATAAATAACATGGGAATTTCAAATTTACAATGTTTTGAACTTTCTCCGTTACCATAACCATATAAAAAGATAAAAACACTTTTATATACTTAATAATTTGTTTGTTTGTTTTATCTTTAAAAAGGTCTAGTGAGAAATTGGGAAATTTTGTGTTTTGAGGGTCAAAAATGAGAAAACCCCATTTTTACCCCATAACTAATAATATTCAGAGCTACTTGAAATTGTGTATAGTATGAGTAATTGTATTGTGGTGATACAGTAATAAGTATGAAAAAGGCAAGTATACGATGGAAGAAGGTATCATTCCATACCTATACACTTCTCAATTGACTATTACTCTATTACTCTCTCTACTGTAGGCTACTTATAGTGTGCAAATCAGCCACAAATCTCACTTCAACGATTTTCACATCGTCACAATTGCTGTTTTATTGTAAAATTATCGAATTTAAAATGCATATCGTATAGACCTATGATGGGATAAAAACATATTTGGCCACGCAACATTTGTTTACAAGATGATTTTTCACATTAAAACTGCAAGAAAATATTTTGTGTTTATACGTGTAAACTAGCTGTTCTTAATTGTACACAGTTTTAACTGACTACTCGATTCCAGTACGTAGGACAGGCTAACACCTCGGTTATATTTAATCCTAAACCCCTTTTTGCATTAACATTTTAAGCCAAATTCCCTGGGAAGTCGGATATGTAAGCAAAATTCTGAAACAAAAGTGGGCATTTGTAAAAAGAAAATGGTACAGTACTAAGCCGTATTTTAAATTTCAGATATTCCTTTTTGCATTAACATTTTAAACCAAATTCCCTGGGAAGTCGGATATATAAGCAAAATTCTGAAACAAAAGTAGGCATTTGTAAAAAAGAAAATGGTACCTACAGTACTAAGCCATATTTGAAATTTCAGATATTGCAACACTGATACAAACCCTAGTATGTAAAATGTATTTATACACAGAAACAGCATATTATGAAAATGTCAAATTTTGCTCTGGATTAAAATAACAGCACAAGAGTACGGTACCTACTGTATTAACAGCACAATAGTACCTACTGTATTAAAAAAAATAATAATAAAAAAAAATGTTACACCTACACTACTGTGTTCCAATAGAAGATTAACGAGATAACTCTATAACAAATTATGAGAATACTAGCTTAAAAGTTTGTACCTACATATTTTTTAGTAATTTAAGTCTAGATTAACTACTTACTTTGGTGTTTATCAGCTAACATTATAAGCGTATTAGGAAGATCTCGACGCCTGAAGAAACACATCACTTTGGCTTCTACGTTACCATTAGGAGTCTGAAAATAAAAAAATTGCATTTGAAACCACTTATTACAAAAAATTATATAGGCCTATAGCCTACATTGAAATCTGCAAATCATCAACAACTTTTCCAAAGAATTCAGTACTTGAAACAAGCTTACATCTTAACAACACATTTTGGGTTTAGAGAGGAGGTTATGGTACCACCTAGTAAGTTTTAGTTTTTAGTTTGTATCACAGAAATCTTAAATAAAAAAAAAAAACTCTAAAAAAACACACCTATATCCAACAGATCAACTCTTTATTGAATTTCCAGTATTGAATATTAGGCAACTATTCATTAAATCACTAATACTGTTTGTTGTGAATAAATGAACCTTTTTAGAAAATAAGATAATAATATCTAAGTTCTTATCGTCAACGCAATCAGGAGTAATATTCCACTACGGCCGTTTCGGAGATGACTCCATCGTCAGGTGCGTAGTGGTACACTAAACTATAGTCTTGTCACATTTAACACGAGTTTTCTTCATTTGCATTGCGTCATGGGGTGAATAAATAATACACATATATGTACAGGACGGACACACTTCCTCAACTCTACTTCCTCAACTAAAGGATCAAATTTTGATGGCCGAACATTTATTTTTAAGAATATCGTCCTGGTTTTATGAGCCAAGCTGGCAGTGAGGTGCCATTGAGGGATCGCCGAGGATGAATGAAAAACCTTTCATGTGGCGTACTGTTAGTCGAAGTGCACAAAAGAGATCTTATGGAGTGCAATCCATCATTGAGTACAACTTCCCATTGTTCTACCTTTAGTGACCTGGACTTCAGAGCTAACAAGGTTGCTTTCCACAATGTTTATATCGTCACTGTACGTGATTCAATTCCTTTGATATCACGGACGATTAATATCAAACATTAGAAATGACAAAATAAATTTTAACAAAAACTAGGTACCTGTTTATTTTATTCAACAAAACAACACACTAAACTATTTACTGTTTTTTTTTTAACAAAACAATTGAAAAACATATGATTGTTTATTTATTAATCATGAAACAGTCTTTGGGCAAACTTATATAGAAATATCTATTGAGGGTTTTCTTTATAGATATTAATCATCGTACGTCAATCATCCCCCCCAAAACCCTCAATATATATTTTAAATCTTCCTCTTTCTAGACCTTAAGTTGTAACCAGGTAAGGCATCGTTATGGTCTTCTGCTTCTAGTTCATTATCTTCGGCTTGAGTTGCTTCACGGAGAGTTTGTGGGAGTATTTTCAACTCCGACATGTGTACCTTAATTGGTGGATCAGACCTCAAGAGGTACACTCCCTTCCCTAGCTTGTGTTCCACCTCAAATGGTCCAAGCCATTTCCGTGCCATCCCTGCATGCACATTTTTAAGCTTATTACTCAAGGGATGGTTTCGCCGAAGAACCAACGTACCCGGTTTCAGGTCCTGCTCTTCAGGTACATCGTTTCTCTCTGCTTCCCTCTTCGAACTCTCTTCGGCTTGTCGATTCATACGTTTGATTTGTTTTGCGTTTTCTTCATGCCATGCAGTCAAATTCATAGTTTCAGGAGACTGTTCATGCATAAAGTTCCAATCACCAGTTCTTTTTATTTCCCGACCAAGAAAAAGTTCTGCTGGGGAGAACCCTGTGACGCGATTCACTCGCTGTCTGATGGCCAGGAGAGACTCATGCAAGTGTTGATCCCATTTGGTATGTTCTTTGTCGAACAAATGAATCCTGAACAGCTTCTTAAGCTCCTGATTTCTCCGTTCAGTAGGATTTGCCTGAGGATGGTATATTGGCGTTGTCCAGTGTTCAATAGCCTACTCAGTTAAAGTCCGCAACCATTGTTTTGACGTGAACGGACTGCCATTATCTGTGAGAAGACATCGTGGATAACCATACCGACTAAAGACCTCTGTTCGTAGGAGCTGTAGGATTCTTCCCGATGTAGCTTCAGGAATGGCAAATGCTTCGACCCACCTGGTAAAAAGGTCTGTCACCACCAAAATTCCAGTCTTCCCTCGAGATGTTCTGGGATATGGTCCCATAAGATCTAGAGCAACAACCTCCCACGGCTGGTGTGGCCGACGTCCTCTCATGCTTGTACTAGCTTTTTGGTTGTTGGCCTTGGTACAGGCACAGATAGTGCAGGATTGGACGTAGTTCTTGATGTCCCGATGCATATTTACCCAGAAGAAACGACGCCGAATCGAAGTGTAGGTCTCGTCTTGTCCTGGATGGCCAGCTTCAGGGCTGTCGTGGTACTTCTCTAGAATCCTTACGGCCTGAGACTTCGGAACAACAATCACAGGAGAAGATTCTGATGGATGAGATTTATACATAAGTATACTGTCTTCCAAGCGAAAGTTCTTATAGCATGTCTTGAACTGGAATGGGACAGCTTCAGAATTTGTGTAACGTTTGGTTATCCAGGATTTCATTCTACTACAAGCTGCATCTTCATTCTGCCATTTCTTTATCAGTTCCAAGTCAATGTCACAATTTTCCCGTTGTGCCACCATAAGAACAGGCTCAATCTGTTTTAACTTCATTGGGACTGGAACTTCCCTCTCCATGAGTTCTTTGGATATCACACCACTGTCTACCGGGTTTCTTGACAAGCTATCAGCGGCTTGATTTAACTCTCCTGGGACGTGATGTATTTCAAAGTCAAAATCGGCCAAAATTAAGGACCATCGCATCAGTTTTGACTTGGTTCCGGATACTTTGTTTAGCCACTGTAGTGATGAGTTATCAGTGAATAATTTAAATTTTCTTCCCTCGAGATACCCCCTGAATTTCCCTACTGCCCACACTACCGCTAGAGCCTCCTTTTCAGCTGTACAATAGCTTTTCTCAGAAAGGGAAAGTTTCCTGCTTGCATATTCAATGATATCCTTGCCTCCTTCTATCCGCTCTTGAAAGAGAACAGCCCCAAGACCTACATTACTGGCATCTGTCTGTAAGCATATTTCCCGACTGGGGTCCAAATAAGCTAATCCCAGAGAGTCACAGATGGTTCTCTTTATCTCACTGAAAGCTTTCTCTTCCGTCTCGGTCCATTTAAAAGGTTTATTTTTATGAAGAAGGTCAGTTAGAGGTGAAACCTTGGATTCAAAATGAGGTACAAAACAACTGTACCAACCGCACAGGCCCAAAAACTGTCGAACTTTACGCTTCGTACTCTTCAATAGCCTTGTTTTTCTCAGTTTGCCTCTCTAATCCTTTGTCTGTTAACACATGACCCAAATATTCTACTGAGTTGGACGCAAAGTGACATTTCTTCACCTGACAGGTAAGTCCATGAATTTTCAATCTTTCTAATACTCTAGCCAAATGTTCCAAGTGATCAGAAAATGTTTTGCTGTAAACTAGTATATCGTCCAAATAAACTTGACAAAATTCACCAACATAACCTGACAAAACTTTGTCCATCAGACGCATGAATGTTGCTGGGGCATTTTTCAATCCAAAGGGCATAACACGGAATTGATATAGTCCCCTTGGTGTTGAAAAAGCGGTCATAGGCCGAGATGATTCTTCTACCTCTATTTGCCAATAGCCAGAATTCAAATCTAAAGTGCTAAATACTTTGGCCCCACTAACTTGCTTAATCAGATGTCGTAGATCAGGCATTGGGTAAGCATCAGCAATAGTTTTATTGTTGACTTGACGTAAATCCACACAAAGTCTGTAGTCTCCGTTCTTCTTTTTGGGTAATACTATTGGTGAAGCCCATCCTGAAGACGATGGTTCAATTAGTCCTTGATTTTCCATTTCCTTTACTTTTTCTATGACAAACTTCCGTTTGTCGGGGTTAAGAGGGTAAGGTTTCTGTTTGACAGGTGTTTTATCTTTACAAGAGATCATATGTTTTACCGTAGTAGTGAACCCAATTCTGTCTGTAATTACCTCTGGAAAGATACTGAGTAAGTTAATCAAGTCTGTTCTTTGATTGAGATCCAAAATTCCCGTTTTCAGTTCATCCAAAACGTTGTTTTCTAATTCTGCTCCCAAATCAAAGTGTTTGTCCTCTAACCATCCCAATCTAACTCTATTCTTAATGCCAAAAAAATATTTAATTTGCTGTGTAATCTATCAACACACCGTATTTAACAAGGAAATCATGCCCTAGGATGATTTCCGGGATTAAATCCTTAATCACTTTTACTGGAATTTGAATATATTCTTGAGAACATTTGGCTTCAAGAAAAGTAAATCCTTCGATTTTGTAATTTATATCTTGTACTGCACCTTTGACAACAGTTACACCGTCTGGACAATCAGGTTTTAACAATTTAGCCACCGTCATGCCAATAAACGAATGTGATGCTTGAGTATCAAGGGCTGCAGTATAATATTTGTCACCAATCTGTAAACTAATTGCCGGGCGGGGATTACCCACACTCTCACTAGAAATTTGACCAATATAAGTTTTTTCTGACTGGTAGTTTTGGGACTTAGAAACTTTTCTAGAACCATTCTCGTCCCTATTAGAACGGTTCTGGTCTAGTTTTCCGGACAACGGGCCTTCACATGCCCAGTTTGCCCACATTGATAACATTTAAAGGAGTTATCAGGGTTCGAAGTTCTGGTTTTTGAGGAATAAAAGCTTACCTCTTCGTCTAGTTTAGCTACTATGCTCCTGAGTTCGTCAAATGATTTTGGTTGAGCTACCTTAACTAGAGACCTAATCTTATCATGTAAAAGTTCTATAATATAAGTAACACTCTCGTCAATACTCCCACCATCATTCATTCTCTTAAACAACTGTAACTTTTGAATAACAAATGCCCCAGCTCTCATGCCACTAGGTTGAACATCCGTCAAGAATTTCTTAGTGATTAATGCTTTGACAGCCTCTGAATTAAATCTCTGCATAAACTCATGTTTGAATGTGTCCCATTCTAGACTTAGACCCTTAATGTTTTGCCACCAAGTACCTGCCGAACCCCTCAACTGTTGGCTCACAATCTGCAGATATATTTCTGACGGTATACACGTCCGTT